TTACATACGCCACCATTAGGTCCCCTCCCTCCCCCACTATTTTTCTCTTCTCTTCACTGTAGGGCTTTTATTACAATTATATATATATATATATATAACTAGACAAACCTTATGGTTGTACGGCAGTGAAGCATCAGTGGCAACACCGATGTTGCTGTCTTTGATGATGATGATGATTACCGGGAGTCACATAGTGGGTAATCTTCCACTATCTTCGTTCACTGTTTCGATGCCATAAGACTAGTATTTCCTTCCCATTATCCGACGCTAAAAGGGAGTTTCCTGTGAATGCAGGTCTCCTTCAACACCCAGTCGCATAGTTTGTTCTTCCCGTCTGAGTGTAACAATGGAGGCACAGGCGCTAACCTTGCTCTCCGCATTCGGAACGGGTTGACCACCATCGACTTGATGCAGTTCGGTTCATCCACTTTTATTTGATTCATTTGGTCCACAACCGCAAATCCAACTGCATTTTTACATTGACTTTCTTGTGTTGTTCCACTGCAGCAGAAAGTAAGACCAGAACCTGTCTGTCGCAGCTGCACTTGGTCAGTCATTCGGACCACAGGGTCTCTCCTATAACATCTGAGTCCCTCCACAATTTTCTTTGCTGTGGAGATCATCCCAACTACTAACCAAAACGGTTCTCTTCTAAGAGCTCGTATCTTCTCAGGGTGCTTTTTCCAAGGGACTTCTGTCTAAAGCGTTCTTGATTGGTCTTTCTTGCGCTCGTAAATCCATTCCGGTTTGCCACTAATGTCTGTCTTACTGGTTTTCATCTTATACAGGCTGTGGTGTTACACCTTACCTAATACATGTGTTTTTAAGCATCACGTATCAACAGTTTCTACTTGTCCATATGTTTGCAGTCGCCCTTTTTCGTTTCAGCTTGCCTACTGTCCACTGTGTAGGATAGCTCCACTTCGTCTTCGTCATTTTCATACGAACCACTTTGTCTAAGCCTTGCGATGTGGCAGGAGGCGCGACGCCAGGAAAAGCATATTAGAACGCTGATGGTGGACTACAAGAGAAGAGCTGAACGCAGGCGGGACTATTATGAGAGAATTGTATACCTCTGTGTGCTTGATTTATTGCTTATTTTTTTAGAAACAGGACCCCATTAAGTTTCTTCGAGTTTATGGTCGTCCGTCTAAACTTCACTTGGACTCAGAAATTGTGAAAGCAGCGGAAAACCCCAACAATATGTACGTCCATCACCTTCGTATCGTATAGTATCTCTGTTTTTGCGTACGTCTTTCAATCTGACTATTCGTCTACAATTTGATTGGAAACATCTCGTCATCAATGGAGGCAGTGTCACCTAGATTGGTGAAGAGACGTTCGTAATCTACTTGTTCTACCCGGATAACGAAACAGCAGTCGTCCATACAACGTGAAGTACTTACATTTCCTCGAGTAACAAAACCATGCAGCCTGTGGAGTGTTTTTGTGTTCGCTACATTCGGTTATTCGTATTGGTACGTCGGCTCACCAGCAAGATGCGAAATCGGTTGGTTGGTTTGATGAATTCATGTTAGATGCTGTACTTACTTCACCCTGTTGCCACTGTAAAGCCTGTATTGTTGCTTACTGGATCCTCCGGGCAGCAAACGCAATAAGTATGTCAGGTCAGCGTTGGCGTGTGATTCCGTCGCCAGAAGGCTAGATCTTATCATGTTGTGATAGCAAACGTACCGCGTAAGCTCCATTGGAGGGTGCTTATGTATGGTCCACAGGATTCGCCTCACGAATTCCATCGATGCACAGGAGCCAGATGAATTCATTCTCCTGGTCTCCATACTGAGAGTTAAAACGTATGTGGAAATTTGTTCTTTAGATGTCGAACTGCTCTATTGGTTCCATGTTAATTACGGCCGTCTTGTGATTTGGTTCCCGAAGCAAAGACTCTCTTATCCAGACTTGCACTCTCCGGCAGAAGCGGTGTCCTCATATGGCTGTAACCCACGACAAAATGAGTCATCTTAAGCTGCATCTCTCGTTCTATGATACCAGCCGAAGAATCTTGTAACATACAACAGGACGAACAAGTGAAACTTTGATACTCAGTTCGTTCTGTCTTGCCTCATGGTTCTGTCTTACTATCACTTCCACACTGCCTTATGGTTCCTCTGTAGCCCCAGTTATAGAAGAGTGAATCAATCCATACTGCTACTTGTTTCCCACGGTTTCATAGTCGCTATTCCACACCTAGTACCTCTTAAAGTGTGAACTTTATGGCACATCGGCCAGCAAGAAGCTCTCTCGTACTCTACCTTGTAGGTAGACAGTTGATGTCCCAATCCCGGAGCACCGTTGTCCATACGCTACTGGCAGCAGCCAAGTGGTATGTTGGCACAGGTGTAGCTCTCGTCTCCAAACTGAAATGTCTTTACTTCGCTTAACGCCTTTAAGAAGCTTTGTTCGTGCAGCTCGCATCCCAAAATAAGCACTATAACACCCCCTTCCATAGTTTCAGCTTACCCGCCAATTAGTGGATCGCTGAAATGTGTACTCTTTAAGGCGGAATTTCGCTCAACATCAACTCACCGTAAAACTCCCTGACATAGTCAAGCTGTTTGCAGAACTCTGTCTAAGCAACCCGTTCTTCCCATCCATCCGAAAGCACTCAAATCTTTAAAATATTACGGAAAACAGTTTCTACTGATTCAGCAAACAAGTTGGGTGTGCTATTCACCCAGCTCTCAGTGTGTCAAGTCGCATACAAGAACACTCGAACTGCTAATAGTAAAAGTCCAAACTAAATTTTAAAAACTATCACGTTTCAGAACCTGCGGCGCCCTTTTTTGATAGTCACTAAATGGTAGGGGCTGTTCATATTTTTAGTACACTTCACACGCATGTCGCTCAAGCTTCTTCATTCATTTCATTTACACTACTAGATGCCGTCTTCAATCGTGAACAAGATTCATTATCAGGGAGCTTATGTCCATGCCGGTGTGCGGGGCAGACTGCAAATCATGTTTTCTGGGAAAAAGTCTGGATATCTTCAGACCGCTTACAAGTTCACAGTCCGTATCAGCGTAGTTATTTAACTGTACTCTCTGAAACTGGATTTTGTTTTTCTCTGTAAGCTATGTTTGTGTACAATTTGGCAGCTGACACTATCGTGCTCAAACAGACTAGTTGGTAACCTTTGCATTCTCCTCTCCGTATGTAACAAACGCATTGGTATTTTCTTCATATCTGTCAGGATGCCGTGGGTTGGTGACCCTTCCATATTAATTGACCGGTTTGATGCTCGCGCAAACTTGGAAAACTGGGAGAACCCGAGCTCAGAAGAATTGAAGTGCGTTTTATTTAATCAACCATAGAGACGCTGTCATTTGCAGGCTGACACCAGTGGAGCGAATCGAAGAGCGACTGTGCATGTATGAACGTTATCGATGTCTCATTCACAATGATTATGCTGGTGGTAAGTCATCATTTTACCGGGTTATTGGTTATTATGCTTTTTTATCGTCAGTCCTTCCGTGTCTTCGAAAGAAGGTAACGTGCGGCTCTTGTGTTGGATCAGTTTGAAATACAATCAAAAGTATCGTGTAGCTAGAGCGAATGACTCACTTCGTACTCGCCCTAAGGTGTTTGTAGAAAGACGGTAAGCCTTCTAGGATACTATTGGTGAGTTGATCGGAGCTGATTTGTTTCCACCGACGCGGCGGAATTTATTCTGGCCGCTGTATCCTATAATGTGTTTCTTCTGTATAGTTTGTGTAACCTGCCCCAATGCTGGTAGCCCATTACTATAAGCTTGACCTCACTGTTGTATTTTAGGGTTTTACCGGTTTGCATTGAGGTTTCTATCTACATAACTATGGAAAGTGTCTTTCGCCTATTGCATCTTTTGACGTATAGCCTCATAAGCCGCATGGAGGATGACAGACTGCTATGCCATCCTGGCTCTGGACAATTAAGGCGTGAACACGAACCACCAACTTTCAAGTCCGGTTATTGTCTTCACATTGGATGTACATATGAACAGTTCAATTCTTTCATCACCATCAGGAATATATCGCCGGCCGATCGTCAGTTAGGGGTGCTGAAAACTCATCTTCTTGCACGCTGAGCTCTTAATATGGCTTGCTATTTTTTTCTGAAGGGCAACGTAACCACAGCTGGCGATACTCTTGCATGCTTTCGTCATAAACCTCTTCATCTTGCGAACCTGCTCGCGAATGACTGTTGTTTTTTAGACAGGCTCAAGCGGTTGGGAAACCAGCTGGAACCAGAAGCATGTGTTTCATTTATTTTGCGTTACCGATGAGCAATCTAATTGTGTTGTAAACTCTGTTGTTGTTAGTAAATTGGATTGGGTTCATGCCACAATCTAGCGGGTTTTTCCGAAGATTGTCTTTCGCGATCGTTGATTTTTCAGCCTGTTGGATAACTTGAGCAGAATATCGTCCAGAAACCGATGGTAGTTTATTGGCAGATGATCTAAATTCACAAGGTGGTTTTTTGAGCTCAAATTTTCCAAACTTGGTGGGCCGCATGGTTTGGCTGGGAGTCGGAATGATAACGGTGACCGGCTCTTAATGTGTGTACTGACAACCTAGCCTAGACACCACAAGCACCACCACGCTATTTAACATCCATTAGCTACTTAACAATGAATCCAAGTCACTGTCGGCCATCGGTGGAGGGCGTGCTTTATTTATTTTGAGAAATGCACTCGGAATTAGGTAATGCTACGGTATGCTCGAAGCTGACGATGCGCTTCTGCGGAAAGATAGTTTACCAACAAAAAAATGGAAGTGACTAAATTTGGGAATCAACTAGGTGGAAACGTTATGATAATTTTGGTTCGAAGAGTGCTAGTCAAGTAGATTAATATAGTTTGTTTATCCCACAAGCTCAATAACTTATCGGAGCTAACGTCAATGGATGTACCAACCGTCCAGTTATATTGTGGCTTTCAGCTGGAGGCCCGTATATGACATATATACTACCCTCTATCCTACCCAGAAGAAAACGATCAAGTACCGGTTTTCCAAGAATCTTCGGAGAGATAATTCCTGAAGGACAGAATAAGGTGTAGCAAGCTGGGGAACTTGGGCAAACGGTGACAGCCACTAATAATTTCGTCTGTTGATATCATATTAGGGCACGAACTTGACAAGACGCTGATCACGAACCTCTGTCAGCAAATAGGCCGTGAGGCAGAGTGCTTCGGTTCCCAGTGTTGCTATCACCACAATTCCCAGATATTGATACATTTCCGGTGAATTCCAATTAATCCGCCTACTAAAGAGAACGCACATCCAGCCTTTGGCTCTTCAAATATGTCAAGCCTCTCGAGTGGCTCATTCGCCGAAATTTGGGATAAGGAATTACGTCCCCATCTTCTAGACAAGGTCAGTTACAGTAGCCGTCCTTAAAAAGAGACGACAGAACTGACTGCTTGGACCACGGAGGGATGTCCGATACTAATTGGGTGGAAGATCCAAGCGACCCTTATTCTTCGCAAACTACCCTCCACATGCGGACTGATATATGCCTCAAAAAAGCCTGGCTTTTGCACTGATTGTGGTTCTGTCAACGTATCTTCGCATAAGCAGTGCGGCAAATCCTGGACCTTCTCCGTGAGTGTTGATGGAAAACGATTGTGGTTGTCCTGGAAACTCAGTCTGTCTTTGAATCGCTGGATCGAGATGTCTCATGGTATTGTCCCCTGGAAAGCTGCTTACTGAGCATGGAAGATCTATATGAACATTCTTCAAGTCGCGTCCACTTTTGTTTATTTCCCATAATTCCTGGGGTTTGTCAAGGTTGCTCGATTTCTCAGTTATTCGGTTTCGTTATGGATGCCGTCATCAAGTGAGCTGTGGTGTGCTAACCGTTGTCATGGGTATTTACCCAGGAAACAATTTTCGAGCGGATGATGTCGTCTTGTTAGAAAGTCCTTGAGCAATCCAGTTCATCCTGAATGAATCGTCGACAGCTTAAACTCGACTCGGTTCACGTCCTTCACCACCCATGTCCAAAGTTTTGTGCAAGCCTGGTCTTCAGACCCACCTCTGCCGATCCTTACTGGTGAAAAGCCTGCTTGCTTTGTAAGCTAAGTATCAGCATGAGGGGTGTAAGTTTCGAATTAACATTCCGGATTGCGAAAGTAGAAATGGTGTTCCTCACTCTTCAACATTCTTATGGATGGAGCGATATAACCGTTTTCTGATAGAATGGAAGGTATTGTCACCTGGGTGCGAAGGTTGATCATTTGTTTGGTCATCGCTACCTACGAAGCATTTCCCGCCTCTGATGGCAACAGTGCAGAAATACGACGTCGCACTTTACGTGACAATGAGCGCTCAAAACTTCGCCTGTGATTTCCCTGAACCAGGTCTACCACCTGAGAATATGACCTCACCTATTAACTTATCCGGTTTGGATTGGTGGAAACGTCATGGAAGTCAACCAACAGTATGGAGGAATAGCTCGAAAATATCAAATTGTCTTGTGTTGGGCTGACGCAGCTCCTTGGTTGAGGTCCAGCCGTACTCAGTTGCGTGTTTATGCTGCTCTTTTATTGGTGTGATTTTGCACTCATTCCGAATCTCACTGCTGCGTTCTCTTGTCGTTTTTTTAAACTATCCAATAACTTATGCTGCGCACTTTTGTGTTTTCAAGAAAAAGCTTTATGCACCCCAAGGTGAATTTTCGGCGTACAAGTTCGCAGTGATATCCTATGTAGAAAAAGTTACCTAAAATACCCACCAATCAGCACTTTACACAAGTAGGCAGATCAATGGGAGTAACCTAAACAACAGCCAAGTGAGTGAACGCAGAACTACGGCAAGTGAAAGTTCTGACTGCTGAAAGTTTGTACTTAGAGCTTAGGTTAGGCATGGCTTTAGTAGGTGACTAATAAAATACGTTGGAGAGAATTTTTTGGGAGCTCAATTGGGAGGAAACTGAAATCACCCGAGATATTCTCTGTGCCTATTTTGGCGACTTGACATAAGGTATTAGGCTATCTGAGGCGTCCCCGAGAGAACGATAAAGGAATAATAAATCCATTTGGGGAGAACACAACTGCTAATAAACCTATGAATAAGATTTTGGGAGCTGAGTGCATCCTCAGTCTCGTAGCGTAAAAAGCTAGGCATCGAACTCAACTGAAGACCGCTTGCTTACAAGCACATCAAGTGAGATTACTTGGTAGATATTTCACTGCCTGCTGAAAACAGTAGGCTCGTCATCATCATCATCATCATCGGCGGCGGCCTAGTATCCGCGTTTAAGGTTAGTGCTTCACTGCCGCAAACATTGGGTTACTTTGCAAATCACTGTAACGTTCACAGGACTTGAGTGAAAAGGCAATATACTGGTATTTCAGGGTATCTGGGTGAGAGCGTTCATGGCACCAGCTAATAGCTTCAGTCAGTATATTGTCTGTACGAAACTTACTACTCTTAGGTTTGCTCGAGGTAGGCTGACACAATGGCCCTTCTGGACCAAATGTTTTGCATTATATATATATATATATATATATATATATAGCGGGAGATCGAAGTTTACTTTTTACAGTTGCAATCATCTTAGAGTGGAGAAAAGTGCATAACTTTTATCAAACCACCATCCTTTCTTCAGGTCTATCCTTTGACGTCCGAAGACACTGAAGAATTATTGATATTAGTCATTTAAAAGCAAACCTGCGCTAACCGTTTGTTCATTAGACTTACTTTACTCTCATTCCTTGGTATCAAATGCGTCCCTGAAATAGTGAGCTCGTAGCGGGCTTCTATGACCCGGGATATGTAGGATGTATCAATATGTTGATTACTTTGTTGTTGGGAAAAAAAGGGACAGAGCAGTGCGACAGGCTGCCAGCAGACAAACTAGTTGCATTGAAACAGCAATAGTTTGGTCGTGCACGGATTCCGTCTGCCATCACGGAATTGTTGCTACTGTTCACCGTATGTTGTTCGAAAACAGCCTATCTACGAACTTAGGTGCGTCTAGTGTGATCTCATATTCGAATAATAGCGCGATAGCTTCCTTCAGTCCGGTCTCCATAGCAACTAAACTGAGTTCCGACATAAACTGGGTTGTTTTCGAGCTAATTGGTTCGTCCATGAGCTATTCACTTCCCTGTCTCCCTCGCACTCTCTTTGGTGGAAATGTTTCAAAGACCACCGTATATCAACTAACCAACAAAGCGTTTATCGGCTAAGTTATCTCATTGGTGGATGCTATCTCTCATCACTAAGATCTCGGAATATAAGGGTGGTTAAGAACACTGAAATATGTAATTCTTGACGCTGAGCTGTCACGTCATCACCAAGGAACTATTAGATGTCTACATTCTCGAACCATAGAGTTTCGCCTACAGCCTTTTTACCAAAATGATGTGACCTGTCGCTCTCGATTCATGGTTGCTTAAACTCCCCTTGTGCTCTGTCCGTGAGCCGATAACCTCGGAAACCAACTCTTAGCTGGTGTGTGCTACACTTGCCCCTCTGTCTGTGCGGAAGGCGCCTCCGCATATGACCATAAAAAGCAACTGTTCACTCCAGGTGTACGCTCTATCCCACCATTTTCTGCTTTCATCACATTCAGTCCATTGCTGAAAGTTGGGATATCTGTCACCTTGCACGCAGCCTAGTGTAAACTCGATCAATTCGGTCCAGAACGGACCACCCAGCTTTGCGGATTAGTGTAACAATAGCGTTTATGACGCTGGTCGTTTGGTGGATCTGTGAATCTTTAAGTCATTTTCCTCGTGATGTTTTCTTTGGATGGTTTTGACAGCAGTTTCCAGGACAAAAATGGTTGGCCTGTGTGCCGCAGACCGTTTTTTCTTCGACGTTTTCTTGATGGAGTGTTTCCTCATGAGCGGATTCCCGTCTAAATCCAAGTTCTCAATCTTTCATTTCTTTTCTGGCTTTTCCTATTGATGTTCTGCTGTCACACTGATGATCAACCTTTTATTTTTGTTTGCTCTAGTGACCGAAGCTATGGCGTTGAAACAAATTGAGATGGATGAAAAATATGGTGATTTGGAAAAGAAGCGCAAAGAAGAAGAAGAGGCAAATAAAAAGTGCGTTTTTGTGTGTGTTCGGTTATCGTGTTCATCTGTCATTTGTTTTGCACTTTGGGTGAATCCGCTGTCGAACAAAAAAGGATTGAGTCCATAAAAAATCGTTCAGCCGTAGCACCCTTTCGGTGCCTAATTGCCATGCCACCCGAAGTTTGTACGAGGGCTGGGATACTCTCAGGTTGCCCAAGCCTACACAGGGGAAGTCGAGAGACAGAGGTCGGGTTCGAACCACGGACCTTCCGGTCAGTAAATTCGCGCTCTAACCACCGGCCATCTCACCCATTGAGCTCATATCCCTCCCAGCAGTTTTTAATTAATTTTATTTATTTCTTTTAATTTAATTTAATTTAGTTTAGCCTCTCCGGAGAGTAAAAACTGTCCATGAGTGCGCATTGAGCCTATACCCCTCCCAGTAATAAGCACTCATTGACAGTTTTTACTCTCCGGGGAAGCTAAATGAGGGGACTGAAAAGACCGCTAAAAGAATCATGTTATCTTGCTTAGTTCGCCGAAGAACACTACTTTGAAGTTTTGCTTTCATGCCAGCGGTCATTCTGACATCAGAATGCTCTGGTAAACGATATTTCATTAGTTGGGCTTTATTTTTTTGGTTTCATTCATCTGCAATACGTCGTAGTCATCGCAGCATGACATCAGTGTTCAACACTGATGGAAATTGTTCGATGCACTCTTCCAGGACAAAGTGTAGGTGACGGACCCAGTCTGTTTGTTAACTACCGCCGGTTGTTCAGTTAACTTTCCTATCTCTGGGGGGGGGGAACTCCTCACATTTGGAAATTCAGTTGACATTCTTAAAAGCAATTCCTTCCCATACGTTTGCTAACTGTCCTGCAAGTTTCACTGCTCGTTATGATTTTCCGTATGCCTTGATTGATCTGTATTGTTGCATTTTTATTTGTATTTTCCATTAATCAGCCACACTGGTACATTTATTGTGTGTGGGGGCGAGATAGCCCAAGTGGTTAGAGCGCGAATTTACCGACCGGAAGGTCCGTGGTTCGAACCCGACATTCGGCACTCGACTTCCCCTGTCTAGGCTTGGGCAACCTGGCAGTATCCCAGCCCTCGTGCTTCCTCCGGGTGGCATGTCGGCTAGGCACCGGAAGGGTGCTACAGCTGAACGATTTGTATTTTATTTTTTGTGCTTTGAAAAGAGTTTGTGGACCTCTGTGATTCCGTCCTCAAATGGTCGTTGTTGGTGAAAAAGGACTGCCTCTTTGTGTTCCTATCCATAGCAGCTTCTTATACGACAAGCTGTTTTTTAGCACTAAGAGCCGATTCTCAACTGCCTCTGTTCCCGGATCGATCCAATAAACCCAAACTTGTAGATACCTAATCATTCGATTACTGTCAAATACAGCAGGATACCCAAATGCCTGAACTTGCAATGGCTCCATCCACATATTGCAGATTTAGCTACGTATCAGACAAGTTAATCTGTTGATTAGTTGTTGTTTCGCACTACCAACAGCTTTTCTTTAGAGCTCGCAGTGACTTTCAGAATCGCATAGACTTATGAGTGAATGTCCAATAGCAGGAACTGATGAATGATTACGTTCTTGGTGGATTTTGTTCAACTCCTGTTTCAAAAACTGATCCACAGACGAGGTTAGGAGAAGGCCCTATCTGGGTCCTAAATTTAATAGGTGTTACATATTTGTCTGTGCAGAGAAGGTTAATGGTTTCCATGAGATAAGATTTAATTTCGAGTGATGACATATGCATAGCTGTCGATCACTTAGCTCCTATAGGTCAACATGTCTCCTATATCCATCGCCTAATTGGATTAAACCTGCGTACAAAATACTCTACAAACTACAGATGGGTGTTCAACCTTGCGCTGGCTTTGATGTAATAAGTTACCTCTTTAGTTCAGTTTGTTGATCCCATGATTTTGTGTGTACATTATGTTTCGTTAAACGTTTCTCTCCCTGTCAGAGTTCTGGAGCCCAAGGCTGCAATCGGTTTTACGTACGAAGATAGTACTGTGCCTACATCTACTGGTCCACCGAGCGCCTCGGTAGTCCCGGTTCCGGGTGAGAGTGATTCGGATGGCGAGGCAGATAGTGATATGGACATTGGTAAGTCATGACCGAAGTTCTCTCTGAGCTAGCTAATTCTTGTTAGAAGGATTTTTAGCTAGCGTTTCTAACTTGTCTAGTCGTGAACGTAGGCTCAATAATTTCATATACCCAAGAAGTGTTTGCCATCCTGATGTGTGACAAAGAACAGGATTAGCGATATCATCGATCAGTTGATACAATTTCGCCAAGGGTCACGTCGACGATAAACTGTTTGAGTTATCATGACTCGCTGGTGGTATATCTTTACATGCACATTTGTGTTGCTGCTGTTGTTGTTGTTGTTATTCTTCCTTCTATGGCTCACTGTACTGTCTTTTTTAGATGTTGAACTCGATCTGGCTACTCTGGGCGTTGAGGGCCGTCGACAATTGGCAAAGTCGGCCTCCTTATTTGGCCTGCACTCCACTGATTTTGTTCGGTTGCATTTGTGTTGTGCTGTTGTTGTTGTTGTTATTCTTCCTTCTATGGCTCACTGTACTGTCTTTTTTAGATGTTGAACTCGATCTGGCTACTCTGGGCGTTGAGGGCCGTCGACAATTGGCAAAGTCGGCCTCCTTATTTGGCCTGCACTCCACTGATTTTGTTCGGTTGCTAGATGCGGATCAACAACTGGAAACCGAATTACGTCTTGCTAAAGCCTTAGAAGAAGAAAAGTTGCAGCTAGCAGTAAGTTTTGATTTCAGAACAAGAACAAAATGTCTATCTGTTTGATGGTTGCTTCCTTATCACAAGCAGAGAAAGTGGGTCCCATAGTCAGTCCCATGCGCAGAAACAGGATACGTAAAAAAACGCTTGGGAACTAGCGTGAGGATGGATTGGAAAGATACAATAACACGGCGTTTGAAGAGCGCGAAGTGGTGAAGGTTTGGGAACTAGTTGGCTGTTCCGTCTGTTCTAGGGAACAGTGTTGGGGTGATTGGCTCAGTTCTGCGACGGAAGGATTGATCTTCTGTTAAGGATAGCTGAACTTGACCATGCAAGCAGTACGGACAAAAGATTGAGGCACATGGATGGAAGACGCTCGCTTCAATAAGACAAGGCGAAATTAGGCACATGCCGACAGGAAGAGAAATTTTCCGGATAACAAACCGGGTGGGCAGTAAATGTAGCTAAATGAGTGAAGCAAAGGCGAGGATGTTCCATCGCACATTTGGTGGCAGCTTTTCGGAGAATGAATTCGGGATTTGTGGTAAAGGAGATGATCAGTGTTGAGGTGTATGTGGGCTAAGAATGGAAACCCATTCCTTCTGGGCTGGTACGAGTTGCGAAGGCCTTGACATGAGTGTACCTCTGGGTTCGCAAACGAGGAATGATTGATGGAGTGTGGCAGTGTTGAGTTTAAACAAACAAAGGGAAGCAAAGAGCGCTGGATACTAGGAAGGCTACGGATTTGTTTAAGTTGTTGCAGTCGACGCGTCCCTTCTGACAGGCCTTGTTGGAATCAAGGCTCAGCTTGGAGGGGGGTTTGTGCACGTTCAATGCATTATCAGTGAATACCAGTGTGTTGTGAACAGTAATTCGAAAAATAATGTGATGAGCGTCATCTGTGGTGTCACGCGTATGGAAGAAATCAGGCAGCGATATGTTATTCATGACCGGTGGTGACTCAGATCCTTGGGTGATGTTCTGTATCGGAATGCAGTGGTGCTGAGGCGCCCTTGGAAAACTCAGACGCTCAGAAAACTTCCAACACCTTTAGTCAGGTTCGTGTACAGACTATACATGGGAAGCTTAGCAGAGGGATCTAAATGCCAAAGATAATTGGCTGCTCTGCAGATACCAAAAGCATGTACTTCTGTTCGACTGAGTGGGTCAAGATAGATTGACGCCTGGGCTCAGATATCGCCTGGAAGAAACACCCTACCAGATTCACACTTCTGCCCCAACGAACAGTAATACTTCACCGCCATGCCTTTTCGCACTAGTTGCCCGTAGCACAGGACTGGCTGTTCTCCATTAGCCTTCCTGGTAAGGCACAACCTTGAGAAATGAAGTTTATACGAACGCAGTCTGGAGGATCATTGCACCATTAAAGCCCAATCACACGACAAGGTCATGAAACTGGCATATTATAATATGGTTTACAACATAAAAAGGGTTTATTGGTGCTTGATAACAATGCCTGACTCAGCCATATGTGAAGTAGGTTTTGTTTGAAAGGCTCATCGCTTTTTTGTCAAGATTTGGTCCGCTTTCAAACTGTTTCACTGGTTTGACCGTGTTCTCGTCATTCTTCTTACCTACTTTAGGGCCGTAAATCTCGCCGGGCTCGTCGAATTCTTAAAGAACGCCGTTCCCATGAGAAGTTCCCAAAATTGTTCACTACGAAGTGCGTGAGTTTTGGTCAACTTTTGCACGTATGTATTCGCAAGCATTTCTTCGGGCATATCCGTTCCAACTTACTCCAGCTGGATCATAAGACTGGTCCACATTGCGCCTGTTCCATTTAGTCCCGGCACGCGTGGTTCCTTGCAACGAATGAGCTTCCGTAGTAGTCAGTGCATCTCCTTGCTATCATTGTACCTGCAATATATACTCACCCGTAATTTGCTATATTGTTGACCATTTTCTCGTGCTCTTGACTGGTTGTCAGACTTGCAAAGTTTCGATTTTGTCGTGTTGTATGACTAGCTCATTTCAGGTGTAAACGATCTCCGGAAAAACTATCTGACCACCCTGATAAATAACTGTGGTGTCTTGGAGGGTCAGATTTTGTATTTACTTTGGTTGTCTATTGAGCGTCGGTTGTGTTGTGTCTTGCTGAACGATAGTGCAACTCTGTATCGGTCTCAGCTTCCTGCTCCGCCCACTATGGTGTATCAAAAGGCACGTTAGCTCCACACAGCACTTTTATGGAGACAAATAGAAATTATTATAACTGTATTTATTGGGTAATCACAGGGTGTTCCACAAGGTCGTGCTAGAATCTCCATGAGGGGGCGAGAAGCGTCGAGTCAAAGGTGCTCGATCTGGGTTGGGTGGCATTTTGACCAATCAGGGCACGCCTTCGTTTGGTTCGTGTCCTGCACGTGACACATCTGTCCAGATGATGTGATGTTCTGTTATTAGGGACGGCTGGCCTCCGTGAAGGTTGATACTAGAATATCCGTTAGAAAATGCGTAAGAGACGTCGAACTTTTTTTTTGCTTACACGACCTCAGGTTTACAACTACATATCGAACTCTCCCTGAACATCATCAGCTGGAACAGCAACATTAGTTGGACTCGCTAAAAATTCCTCTTACATGATACACACTTGATAAATGAGTAGTGCTTGCTCGATTCAAGTTTTCCACACCACTGACCAGCGTCTCGTAACTGGCACGTAGCCTCATGTGAAAGGCTCCGTGGGTGTGCCGGATTCCCAATGGAAACGAAATAGTTTAATCGTGCTTCTCGTGTTTTCAACCTCACTTGTTGATATTTAGACTTTGAACTGTAAAATTCGTTTACTTGCGAAATCACAGTACTTTTACTGCGCCGCAAGATATCGTATTCCGTCGTCGAAAATCAGTTTAACCTATGTTGAAACGTAGGGAAATATTTTCAAAACTGTTTAGTTTTTGCTGGGAATCTCAAACAATGCACGTCCTGCGAATCCTAAAGGCCATACGATTCCGTAACCCTCAGTAGGTTAGCTTAACACCAGTCGAGCTGATATTATCTAGTCTAGAGCTGTGCATCCTGAGCTATCTACCTTCTAACTGTATCCCACTTATGAACTGCGAGTGTCCCGTATACACCTCTCGGTTTAATTGTGCTATAAAGTGCTCTCTAACGTCTCGATGTGAGTTCATCTGGCGTTTTAGGGTGGAATTCAATTTGAATACCCCAGCATCGCGTCTGTTTTCACAAACCTTAATTGGTGGATATGGTCAACCAATTAGTGATTGGAATGTATGGTCCGTATAGTGGATCTTCGTTTGGTAGGCAGCTAACATAGTTGTGAAATTGCCGGTCGCATCCACAGAACGCCTTACTACATTCGTTCTTTTGTTGGAGAGGACAGTGGAATTTCAACTCCAGATCTTCGTGTATGGATTTCACCTTTGCAAAAGCGCTGTACGTTGTTTCTCTAATTGATTTCGGGAAACCTGGTTGCCGTCGTTGCGGAGTTTTATCGAATGATTTTATCATCCTTACACTACTGGAATTGTTAGTTGTGTTTGCATTGTCCTGCAATTTTGGCGGCATGCAGAGAAGTTGTAATCATACTGCTCCTGTGCAGTATGCATGAGACTAGTGGACCGAAATAGAGTGTACAGGGGTTGTTGTCTGCGGTTCCAGGTTTTCGTGAACGCAACCAATCTCATGGATTTCGGAGCATACTGAGAGAGACGTTCTGTAACCCACGACAGCCAATTCTTCCAGAAGTAAAGTTGACCCCATAAAATATCTAGCATGCTCGTCTGTCTTGTGATATTCTCATTGACAACACCGTACGTCTGAGCTGACGGCAGGAAGAATGAACTCAGTCGTTACCCAATTTGATACGGACATTGATAGCTGAAATGTAAATCAGATCTTTTGAATTTAGTAGAGGGGTATTTTGTTTAGACACAGAACAATGGCTAATCAACCGATAGCTGGATGGAGCGCAATGGAACAAGGTGAAAGTGTGATGCGGGTGTGGGTAGAGTTGCAAGGGCTAATGGTAGTTCCCAATTGATCCGACCGAAGAAGGGAGTTTCTAAGACATACCATCAGCGCTTGATTTAAATGTTCAACTCACAAAGCATTGAGTTGTATGATTTACTCGGAAGACATCTCCCGATGTCTGGCTGCGGGGAGTGGCCTAACTCTGGGGTTCGGGGAGTAATGCATGGGCGTATCACTCCTGATACTGCTGCTTGTAGCAGCTACGTTTGGTGTCCAATCGGGCTCTTAGTAAGTATTAATCATATTTCGGTCGTATTCGTCGTTGGTCACCGCCAATTGATGGGAGATCACAGTATGAGGTTTTTAGAGTTTACCTTTTCTTACCTGTGCTTCCTCGGTGAAGGTGGTATCGCTGATTCCATACATGTGGATATGCTAGTCGTCTGGAGGAAATGCCTTACTGCGTTCACATTTCCATCACGGAAGATGGTATTGCTTTACTCTCAGACCACAGTATATGGCAGCGCTTGATGCTCTTTGTCTGGCTGTTCACTCTTGTCCTTTATAGAATGGGCAAACCTTGTGAGATGAGGTTGCAACCGGTGTCTCAGCGTGTATCGCAGCAATCAAACCCGAGCATCACAACAAAGTAGCAGCTTTCTTTAACGTCGTTTGTGAGGAGGATAAAAAAAATAATTTGATACAGTTTGGTTAAGTTTATCAGCCCTAAACCACGTGTCAATGGTGCATTGGTTCCAATACCAGAGTGGAAATCCCCTCATGGAGCATAATACGGGAAAAAAGTATTTGCCAAAAGATCCATATGGATACGGATGCTGTGGATTTATCGATTGCGATTGTCGTTCAGTGGGTTAATCTTACTGAGAACTTAACATAGTTTTCAGTCCCTGTCGCATTTTCTCATTATGTGAGGCCTCCGTTGGTATACGTATTAGTGCACAGGTGGTGATAGCCATAATACAAATCAGAAGGTGTATGCACTAATAAAAGTTTTTAGTATGGTTGCGACACGTATAAAAATAAATACAGTGCGAAATGGGAGCGAGTCAAAAAAAGGGAACTTATCGTATGCGAGAGTCCCTTGGTGAAAGTCCGGACGGCGGGAACGTGTTTCCTTCGCAGTATAGCTGCTACACGTGCTCCATAATTGTCCGTGGACTTGTGGAGAGCGGTTGAGTTCCTGCTCCCCGCTCGCGCGCTCGAGTCTGTGTGTGTTGATTGTGTTCGGTTTCCCATATATGTAGGTCTGTTTGCGCGTACATGGGCGCGTCAGCACATGAGTAGTTGCCACGCTCACCAGACGGTTCAGACAATCGACCTCTGATGAGTCACCTTGATGTGACGTGGTTTGCGAGTATGAAAAAAGACAAGTCTTGTGATCCAGTGAGCGACTGTGAGCTGAACAGTCTAGTGTGTGGTTAACTGGGTAGCTACATACAGAAATATCCGATCTTCGAGCAACGTTGTTGGCAAGTAACCTGTTTTGTTGATCTCTTTTCCTATAGCGTGTATCTTCACTTCGTCCTTCAACTAATTGTCGTAACTTCACAGCACACAACTCGGACTCACCTACCTAACCGTTTGAGTTATCTTTCTGTGCTGACACCAAATCTGAGACTGTTTTAATGGTGGTTTTTTTCCTTCTTAGGGTGGGACTTCTCAACGGCCAGCCCATTTCAAGGTAAGTTGCCATCAGTGATTTGCTGGTATATTGTTTCTGAACACAGCTTTAACTCTATAGGCGTCCTAACGGAACACACTTCTGAAAAGATTGCTGGAACTCCTCGACAGGCCACCACCAGACTGTCGCAGTCCACGTGTTTTCATCAACCTTGCGCTCTACTTAGACACCAATTTGTGCGTGTTTGGTGAAATACACTCACTTTGGTTTTAGCAAGAGACTATTGTTATTCTAATGTTCATAATGTGCGGTACGGTTGCGTCTTTTGTTAACAACAAGCAAATCCGCAACTCGTACTTTGCAGACTGTAGCAATCGAATCTATGCCTTTTGTATCCTCGGGTTTTTCATTTGCCGACCTCTAACCCCCTCACTTTGGCAGGTAGGATACTTCACTACTGCTACATGGGATTTGTCACGTGATTTTTATTGTTTCTATTTCTGGACGTAACAGAATAGTCATAAGGTTTGGTGAAAACTTTTTGGTGGCAACCTTATAAGTCATATGCTACGTCTAGACCATGTACTGTGGTATCATAACAGCGGAAATGTGAGGCGGCTTTGCGCAGCACACGAAGAACGCCATCGTAAACGAGAGATTTAGCTGGATTCAGTTGACTTCCCCGTTGAGGCCATATTTATGTAAAAATGAGAGTATTTGGCGAATTTCTGTTTCTATTTTGAAATTGGCAAGTCAGCAGTTAGTCCTTGCTGACTCACACCCATCCTTTGACGGTGAGATCTAAACAGTACAGTGCGAACCACGATTGCCAGATAATATTATTTCGTACATCACTTGATATCTACCGATCGACGTATCAAGAATGAGATCAGAGATTTCTTTTATCTTCTTATTTTTATATACCTCTCACACATACTTCGGCCATCGGTAGTGCTCGTCGTCTTTCTTACTGTGCACTTCAGCTGAAACTTTGAACACAGCGTTGTAAAAAGTGGGTCATTTGCAAATACAGTATCCTTTTTCTTGATAAGTTCCAAACTAAGACCATCTTAGCCCCTTCCGCGACCGAGATGGTTCAGTTGCTGGAGCATGAATTTATTGACCGGAAGGTCTGTGGTTCGAACCCAGTGTATGAATCTTGACCGCTTCTATTTAGGCTTGGGCAACCTGACACTATCTCGGCTTTCATGCTCCTTTCGAGTGGCATGGCAGCTAGGCACCGTAATGGTGTTACAGCTTAACGATCCAAGTCCTTTATCGTAAGATTTAACTTGTTCTGTAAACGAGAAAATCCATCAAAACGAATGACCAGTCAGGCAAGGACAGAACGGTCACATTTTCCGGTAAAATTGAAAAGAATTGGTTGATACTAGCTGGTGGTTCAAAACAGTGGCAGCTGTAACTCTAATTTTCACTGAATTCTGCTTCATTTAAATGAAAAATCACCTGTCGTCAACAGCCGACGCAATAATGCTTATTCCCGATTAATTGTCTTCGTTCGGGGGGGGGGGGGTCATTTACTCGGTTCGGCATATATTGAGGGTAATGTTGGTAGGTCAGGTAGCATAGAATGGTCGTTGTTTGTTCGCTGAGCTGGGTAAATTGATTGTGAACGTCTCACCACCAACCGTGGTGACGTCATCAGTGCTTTGCTATAGAGCATGGCATTGGGTCGGTGGTTATGCTTTGGGTAGTATTTCACATGTGTTAATATACGTGTTTCTGCCGGAGATGGTCTTCGGTCACGAGATACATATATCCAATCTGCTTCCGATTTCAGACGTACGGTGTATCTTTCAGCGAGTTCTTCGGATTCTGGTGAATATCCTTCTGAAGAAGATGAGGTCTATGTCGGAACGCGCGGTTCCAGTGCTAAGGCGGCCGCCGCTCAAGCACGACGCGCTCGAGCCAAGCCATTACTAAGCAATGCTGTTGGTCCATCCGTTATGATTGGTGGCATGACGTCTATCAGTTTGTGTAGACGGCGTAACCATACCTCGGAGCCTGGTGAAAATGTTCGGAAATCCGGTATTCGTCCATCATCCAGTAGCCAAGGCAGTAGTAGAAGTCGCAGCTCCTCGAGTTCCACAGACGTAAGTGTTTATCTGCCCATTATTTCGTCGTTTTTGTTATTTGAGATGTTCATTATTTGCTTTGTCTGGCGAATTCGCTTGGTCGTATGGCTTCAAGTTGTTCGTGCTTACTCCCAATGTCCAGCTACTTCGGGCTTTTCTTGGTGGACTTCTTTTTTGTATTTATTGTTTTGAACTGCTGTGATTAGGTAATTTCATCTCTCTGAATTTAACGGTACTATAGTTTGTCTCACAACGGGATCGCCGATGTCGGGATTTATCGCTTAGGTGGTGATATATAATCCGGACCGCACTGTACAACCAGTTAATCCACAGAATCGGTGCATTGACGGTACTTTTGTCATTATTAAATGAACCTCATTACTATATATGTACGCATTGTGCGATGTTCTACTTGAAGACGTTGAATTTACAGTGAAAGTGAGGAAAAACAATCGACTACCATGCTTGTCAGGTGAGATAGCACAAGTAGTTAGAGCACGAATTTACTGGCCGGAAAGTCCGTGGTTCCAGATTTTGCACAACTTTCGAGTGTTCCGTCCAGCCTTCTGTTTACTGCTTTGTACAAGAATGGTAGAAATATAAAATCGTTCATCTGTAGCACCCTTTCGGTGCCTAACTGCCATACCACACAAAGGAAGCACGAGGACTGGGATGCTGCCAGGTTGCCCAAGCCTAGATAGGGGGATTCGGGCGACAGAGGTCGGGTTTGAACCGCGGACCTTCCGGTCCGTAAATTTGCGCTCTAACCAAAGTCTCGTCTTTATCATCTGATGGTGTATAAGAGTGCTGTCCTTCTTTCATAATCCATTTGCGACTTTTCCTGTGGAGAACTTGATTGATCAGCAACTCTAGACTTGTTCAGCTCTTTTGCGTATGAGCGTTCACGGTTTCCCCCTAGTGCCGTTTGAGGAGGACCAGCTCAATTTTGTGCGCAGGAACCTGTGCCTATAAAAGCTCAAGGCTCCCGTACCAGGCTCGAATCGTGACTTTTCTGTTTCCTTTTAAGAATGAAATCCTGGAGGTGCTACCGATATGAGTCATTTTGGATTAGATTCGCCCCTTTCATTCAAATTGATACGATGTACTGCTGAATGGTTGACGTTTTTCGCATACTTGCAAATTCGGTGCTCCCCTTAAAACCAACCTCAGGAGCTTTCTCTCAGGTGGACGCTTCATCGCTTTGTACCATTTTTCCGCACAATATGAGCAGATGTATTTGGTAGTCGTTCCACCCATTTAACGGAAACAAGACTCATTGTCCCAATGGAGATCGACCTGCAGCGAGCCAGTCTACTCCCCTTATCACTAATTGTTCTGTTGATTGAATTTGGCGATACTTCTACTTAACATGTGTCAGATGCGACGGAAGCTTAAGGGAGCCTACCAGTGAGAGGTACACATGACATGCGTCGTACGCTTTCACTTGTTTGGCTGTAATTTCTATGGCATGGTCTGAATCCTCGCGAGTTTTTGCTCCACTTGCTACATCTTCGGACCCATAGGCTCGGCGGAAGTTATCGTGAAGTTTATATACTTCAGAATTGGAAATGTAAGCTCCTTCTCATTGTCTTCTGGTTGCTAGAACAGTATGATTTCGACGTAATGGATGTTCGCTATCTCGTAGAGTTACACCATGGTGGTCTTTCCCCCAAGTGAGTCCATGCATTAATTCAGTATCACTAAGTTCATTACTGGCAGACAAGTAAATGGATTTTATAATGGATAAGACGGTCCAGTCTGTATTTTTGTGTTTTGGACCGTATATGAGCGGAGAACATACTTTAATTTGGGTGCCCTCTTGCAACGGAGTCTTTTTTAATATCAAAAAGTTCAGGACCGAGTTTTAGAGTTGTGGGTGACAATATGTTTGTGTTTTTGGTGACTGTTTTGAACCGCTCGCCTGGAAATTCACCAGCAATAAATAAAGATGGCCTCATACAGTCCTGAGAACCTATGCTTCGGACAGATGGACAAGAAGTTGCCATTTTAGATGCGTTGTCATACCTCAACCGGCGAGAACCGGTCCGGCTTGGAACTACTGCTAATACACCAACTGAAACTCAAGGTTACGACCAGTGAAACTTCACCTTTCCGTTCACCTTTGAAAGTCTTAGCTACTGATATTCTGGCCATGAAATGAACCAGCTGTGTTACACTTTGAATAACTTTCTATTACCTTGTTGACGGTTTAGAAAAAGAAAGCGTTCAGCTGTAGCACCCTTCCGATGCCTAGCTGCCATCCATCCGAAGGAAGCACGAGGGCTGGGGTACTGCCAGGTTGCCCAAGCCTAGACAGGGGAAGTCGAGTGGCGGAGGTCGGATTTGAACCACGGACCTTCCGGTCAGTAAATTCGCGCGCTAACCACTTGGACCATCTCGCAGTTTTCCCATCTTCAAGTGACCGTTAATTCGGGTTATATCTGGCTTAAATTCGTTGTATGCGGTCTCGAAAACTGTGCAAACCACTCGAATTAGGGTTTTCCAGTAGAAGTCAACTTGACGTCAATCTCCGGTGGTATTTGGGAACATGAGATTCCAGCCCCCTGACTATCCACAGTGGCCACCAATCAGGAACGTGACGTTATAAACGGCCGCACATCACGGGAATATGCTGTTGGCCAGATTGTCAGTAATATGAACTTTAAATGAATGGTATCTGTATGGTATGATCGCCTCGAGTTTTACCAACTGAATCGAATGAGTAGTCATGCGAACAAACTTTCCTCTTTGTCGAATCCCAAAAATTATCTTTATGATCCAGATACTGCTAATGTCTACCTCGGGACTGAAGGCCATCGCCACTGACTATCTTTGAAACATTTAATTGGTAAAACAAACAGAAAATGCCCGTCATGCTTAGAGTTGCGCTCAAGGAACATTTCAAACCATTCCTAATAGAAATTCACAGTCGCAAGGTTGTTGATTCCACCAGTGATGCCCTACATTTTATCTGTGCTCGTCTCACATGTGTAGTGACGGGCGATAAACTCTGTTCCTCTGATTCATTGTTTTCCACTACGCGATTGTTTTTAGAAACTCTGCTTAACGGTGATTTAGAGGTTGCCCCTCGGTCGTGTAGGGTTTCACACGCATGAGTGCAAAACTTCGTCACCTGAACTAGTCAGTAAAGTTGTCGGGGGGATAGCGTGGGCCACTCATCATGAAAACACGTTGACGTACCCGGTCTTCGGTTTCTTTAACTCGAACCGCAGCCACCATCACTGAAATTTGACGCGCAGACGTGTGGAATGCATATTTAACATCCTAGTCTGTCGGAACAGAAGGCAAACCAATCTCCAAATGATATTTTAAATCAACTTAGCTGTCAATATTGACAGCGTGTCTGTGTACCTGGTGCGTGATACTCTTTTGAACCTCAAATCAGTAATTGTTCATCAGTAGTGTTGTATCCCATCTGAGTGTGTGGACAGGAATACTTGCTTTGCTTGTACGTGGTTGCATCACTTGTATGAATTGTATTCACATCACTCTTGTTCTAACACTTCTGTCCTGACGGCCGAAAACTGACACCACGGGCGTGTGGTCCGCATGCATGTACCATCTTACGAGACTTTCTATCCACAAATGCCAGAGCTAGCTAGCAGTCGAGTTGTAGTTGCTCATGATGATTCGAGCCGAAGTTTTCCAAGTGATGAACCTTGTTCATTTTGCCACAGAAAGTCAAAGTCAGGTAAAATTAGGGTTGAAGGATTTGCGGACTTCACACTTTCTCGTCTGACCTTTCCTTGCAGCGCAATTCAGGTAGACGTTTACGCCGAGAAGGTGGTCGTTCCCACGGAAAACGGTCTCGTGTGGAATACATCACTGCTTTTGGTGAAGGAACAGATGATAATACTGAATCCTCGAACAAACGACATCCATCCTTATCTTCTAACGCGACATCGTGGACGAAAAATAGATCTCCCGGCTGCGCTACTTCCTCGTTAGCCGCCTCTGTAGTTTCGAAATATCTGGACTCGTCGAAGCGATCTGTATCGCCGAAGAAATTTGGCGCAACGGTACACCACAGTACGTCACCGTCGCTTCATCGTCGTCACGCCGCGCGAAATCGGTTAGTAACATACCTGTTTTTACTGTTCAGATTCATGGCTTCGTTTAGCACAGTTGGTCCTGTTGTAATTATCTCATCCAAACTTGCCACCTTGTTGGTGACTTTATGTCGAGAAAGGACCCAAGAATACTATCAGTAGCACTTACATTGTGTTGAAAAAATCTTCAAGAGTGCACCTCCTTGAAAGAAGATAAATGACCCTGCTTGCCTCTGAATCAGTGCCAGAGCGCACTTCACAATGGCTTTCATACTGTAGCTATTCGAGATACAGATCATCCGTCCCATGGGATCAACATCACAAGACGCCTACAGATGTGCAGAAGCACGCCGAAGCATGGTCCAGATGATGTTTTCGTACGAAGCACCTCATACATGTTCCACGGATTAGGTGTACTTTCGTGTTCAAGTAATCTTGAAGCACTGTATGGAGTCGTGCTGAAAGTCGATGTTTTCTTCAAGGTTATGGCGCGTGCTTCGAAAGAAAATGTCGACCAAATGTCTAGTGTATGAGCTTTAAACAGTGGATAGGTTCCATTGTTTTGAAGCACCCTCTGACGACCCTATATGCCTCATGATGGGAAAAATAAACCCCAGCGAAATAGGCAGTTATTAAAAGTGGCAATTGAAGAGCACCCTGTCTTGAAAGTCACAATCAATCAAAGGACACTTCGCCGTTGTTTATTTCCACACCATTAGTCTTATTCACACGGGTCAGATGTAAGTATCGTCACATTCACTAATAAAGAAGTGTACATTTGGGTGTCTTCATACTGCACGTTTCCCATTGTTTTATTTCCAAAGCTCACACAAACTGGTTTCCACCTTACCTGTGCAAATAAGTGCCATAAAAGTGTGGCGCAGAGGGTGCTTCTCCGTCCCATTAAGGGGGGCGCGTTTTTGGCCGATCCCGAGTGTGCTCACTTTTCGGGGGACTATATATGTATATATATATATATATTCCCTGCTTTAAAGCACCAAATAAGCCCATAACTACCTGCTATATACACAAATTTGTTTTCAACATTAGTGGGAGTCATAAGTGTGATTCTGGCTATATTAACCTTTTTAATTACTACATTAATCTCCCGAACCTAGATTCTCTCCAAATGGAGCTCATTAATGGAATACACTAGTATCCCCCGCTTTCCAAAATTAAATAGAGGTCCGGTCCCATTTTGGTAGTCGAATATAGAATCTCATAAGGTACATAAGGAATATAACGCAGCTATGTTCGGGAATCAGCTATTTAACACACTCGTTCTATTCATAACATCAGTCTCCGGAAGGTATAGTCTTGTCTGTGATCCTAGCATGGTAAGACCAAATCGAAAATTCCACTGCTATGTCCTAATATATTATCACGCACACTACCTGCTTTGGCTGATACTAGTTGTTCAGAAAGGATAAAAATTCACACTTCACACTACTGGCAGCGCATTTCTACTTTTTGGTGGCGCTGACACCTAGTTTGATCATTTCGAAATAGGAATTAGGAACGTTGAGCATTTACAAATGCCAAGGCACGTGTCCGAAATTCCCATGCAGAACGGATAATCTGTTGTTAGCAGTTCGAACAGTTGTTCTTTCCACCGTAGCTGAACATCAAGGCCAATCTCGGGCCAATACATCACTACTCACCGCCGGGATGTGACTGTATACATTGCTGTACTATTGTATTTTATTACTGTATACATTATTGACAAATGAAGGCGTTCGCATGACAGCTAAAGTCTATTGACAGCCTTAGACTCACGAATCACTATTCGTAGACCCATTGGCACAAACGAAGGTGCACGTGTACAGTGTCCTGCATGGTAGTGGAATGACGTTTATCTTGAAGTTGTAGACATGGCAACTCAAATCGGCATCTTGATAATTGCGATGTTAGTACATGAAAGCCACATAGGTGGATTTTGCTCCACCCAACTTCAACGTTACGATTGCCGAACAACAGATGCTACATCAACACCAACGGTTTCCGGACAGGTAGTTTAACTGAGTGTAACTTACTAGGCACGCACGTTAGACGCGATCACGTGGATTGGTGCTGGTTGACAGAACATCAATATATAGACTGTCCAGACACGTTACGCCGCAAGCGTAATAAAAAAGGATGCTACTGCTATACCGTGCAACTGCATAATCGACGAGCAACCGGCTTTCCGTCTCCTTGGAAATAATCGTGTTGGAGAATTCGCTAGTTTTGATTTTTACTTTCTAGTTCACTTTTTGCGAGTGATTCCGTTTGTTGTAAGGAATCATCCTATAACCAAGATACGGATCTTAAAGGTGCCATTTGAGGTCTTGGAGTTGTGGAACCTGACAATGATGAGTCTACAACCGTGAGACTATGTGAACAGTTGGGAATACTTGCCCTCAAAGAATTCTCAACGCTGACTCCGGCCGTGACAGATCTTCACTATCGCTTAGCAGAAGTCAAGAGAGAGAGAGAGAGAAAGGGCTGTAGTAATCAAACGGATTTCTGCCATGCTGGTAGCGTTAATTGTATTTTGACTTCGACGGTTCGATTTCAGTGGATATAAGGGTAACTGTTACTAACTTTCATCGTGGTAATCGTGTCTGCAAACGGTTTATCACAATTTGAGCTTCGTTCGTATAACCTGAAAGTACGGTCGATGGAGGTGCTTCTCAGAAGAAAGACTACCCTCCGACTATGTTCAGTTGGGACGCTCCCCTTGAGTAGTCTTTGTTCAGGGGAATGATTATATATATATATATATATATATGTAATAAGGTGGACGACTTGTGTCATTGCTTATTGTTATGCCATCATGCTTAAGCTGGTTGTCAGTTTGCGGAGGCCTCTGCACTTTCCCCTTATTCCCTCGGATTTAAATCGGCGCGAAGGTCCTGGACTCCACACTCGGTTCGGTGCAGACAGTCTGTGACTCCTTAGTGTGTACGGGTGTCCACTTAACCATTGTTGGTATATCCGATTCGGATACTTGCCATTCATACATCAAACAGGTGTCTTGGAGGAGATGGTAATAACTGTGGCTATTTGTGGGTTTTTTTTAATGTGTTCTCACTTCATGCCCGCTCAAACAGCCCTTTTGTCTCCAAATTGTGATTCCCACAGGCCTAAAACCGAAGTACCAAGAAACGAGTCTTAGTGATGTTTGAACCCATCAGCATTACCTATTTTTTGTTGTGTCGGGATTTGAAGCTCGATCATCTGACATCTCACCTCTGCGGGTGAGCTGTCGATCGAAGACTGGTGGTTGAGCTTCGGTGCTATACTGGCTGCAATCTCGCGTCGCAAGGTTTAGCCATGCCAGGAAGGCCAAGATGGACAGCCAAACGGGAAGCAGTGAACTGTTACCCTGCGAGTGATCGTATTGCTTGGTAATTTGTGGAAAATGAAGGGCTGTCCTCTGCGATAGAAGTGTGTGTGTGTGGCAAGATGTTTCCTCCACGTGACGAGCATTTCCATATAAGTGTAATCAGCGGTGTTGCCCGTCCTCTATGAAGGCCGAGCAAAAAAAGGTTGGTCCTAATAATCTCACTCCGGTAGCGAGAATTTTAGTGGTGACAACTTGGGAATTTGCCACTGACTGAAATATGGTACAAAGTTGCCAAGAGCTCACTTTGGCTCCAAACACGTCTGCTTGATGCAGCTGCATCAGGATCGATACGTCCTAGCCTTAGTCCCAGCACCTTTGGGACAGGCTGTTCCCCGTAGCCAAGATCCGGGTGGGATCTCCCACTTTGATCCTACAACCTGATGCCCTGTGGGCCAGATTTTTGTGTCAAAGGCCCAAAATGATATACCTCTAAAAAACCCTCCCTTAACCCGTTCAGCTTCCCTCACCCGCACTTCATTCCCGCCTTCCAACTCATTATGGTAAATCCAGCTGCCAGCCCGGTAACCACCGTCTCCTGCCCAAGCTACCATCCGAGAGATAAAAATGATCCTTTTTCTATACTCAGAAGATATGATCCATTTTCTATACTCAGAAGATGTGATCCACTTTGTTGCTTTGTTAGGTTGGACAGCAGGTATCTTTTGTGGAATTTTTCCCCTTTCCATCGATGTATGTTGTTTCTCCGAAACACACCTACACCGTAGGACGTGCTCAGGTAGTACACATTTCACTCTTCGGGTATCTGATGCAATGGCTCGTGATTTGTATGATGTGGACTGAATTTCAATAAACAGTTGTATCTGTTAGACAAGTGCACTCATTTGCAAACCACTTTGTTTTTGACGGGAGACTCACCTGGAACCCAGCGGAATCTCTCGTTTACGGTGTTTTTGAGCAACTGAATTTGCTGAAGTAGGCTGCCTCATGTTGGTACGATATTGGAGATGTCACGATACATTGTATAGACATAGTGCACTACTCATAAGGTAGCTGAAGAAGAGTTTTCAGCAACCTTATGAGCAATGTATTACGTCTGCACAGCTGTATTTATTATTGAAATCTGTCATCGCTGGTCGGATCAGCTGGATAGACAGGTGTTGCCGTTCCGGCAGGTGAACACCCAATTGAGACGACTAACTCCGGAAAAAGCATAATTGTTAGATTCCTAGTTGACACTCAGTCAGTGCTGGACGTCGTCTGTCGCTAATCAGTAGGAAGCTGCAGCCTGAGCGCCTATGCAGTGTTACTTGGCGGTCACCAGGTACAAGTCATTCCCGGGCGTAGTTGGGTCATGCAATCATCATTTACCACTGGAGAACCTCAAAGAGTGGCGTTCATTCTAAGACACCCAGCCTTATTTCAATCCTAGCGTTGTGCCGGCCCACTTTTTAGTTCGCACTTCCTCAGGACCATGCCGCCCGACGGATGCTCGTCCACTTTGTCAACTCTCAAGGTTTTTAGTAGCTCAGTAACCACACTGCTGATGGAGACTGGCTAAAAGATGAGTTGAATCTATGTTCGCAGCCTTCAATATGGTATCACCGAGCCCTCCCCCCCGGCCCTACCAAATGAACACTAGATGTCGTCTACAGCCATCAGGTATTATTGGTGCCTAAAAGACCATCCAGCAACTGGTGACCACGGTGGTGCACGTAAATTCTTTAAACGCCGGATAATCATGATCCTTGAAAATCATAGAAAGCGCCGTTGGACTGCGAAAACCTAGTGGATCGAGGACATTTTCGCTTCAGGAACCAGCCGCACCTTGTTTCAACTTCTACATTCAACTGATCAAATGACTGAAAAAGACGGAATAGCAATTGGGGAGCAAGATGCCTCAGTGGCGAATTTGCTGACCGTAAGGTTCATTGTTCGAACTCGACCCCTGCATCTTGACTTCTGCTGTCTAGGCTCCGGCAACTTGGCAGTATCCCAACCCTCGTGCTTCCCTCGGGTGGCATGGCGGTTAGGCACCAAAATGGTGTTACGGCTGAACGAATAGGAATTCATTCGTTTAGTTGTGCCATAGAGTCATCCACTTTGCATTTCAGAGAACAGTTAGCTGGTTTTCCTCAACTCGAACTCTGGAAGGACCCATTGATCCTGAAAGGAAAGTTGACATCAGCCCCCATCAGCTGGAGGGACCGTTATTTCAACGTGACAGGGCACCTATCCCGGATGATTTCGTACCCTAGACTTTAATAAAGATGGCGAGGTTCTGACGAATGATATTTCTGGATCGTTCTGAGGCGTGGCATCTCTTCAGAACTGTCTCTTTTGCCTAATGACTGTATTTTGGACAGCACTTCTTTCAGTCCTGTCTGCTTCACACGTATCTTGTGCCTTGATCTTAATAAAACCCTAGTGATCTACTGACTTTAATTACTTTCATAACCTCCTGATCCGCAGAATATTGGCTTGTAATTCGACCACGTACCTTGGCCATTTCCGATCAGTTTTCCTTAGTAGATGCATCATCCTCATTGATTCGCAAACTTCCTCTTCTAGCTTTCTACATTGTATATTTCCAGTATCTTTTGCTTGTATAAAATGGTTGTTTCAGAATCTTAAGTTATCACAGTCTGCATCCCATGGGGGCGCTGTGATCAACGTCGGCCCCTAACATTTTTGCCTAGAAGCCAATTGAAACTCACAATAAGCTTTCAGCTGTAAAACCTTACCTCGCTGACAAGCCACGCGAAGCAAGCACGAGGGTTGAGGTGCTGTCAGGTCGCCCAAGCCTAGACAGGAGCAATCGAGACGTAGGGGTTGGGTTCAAACCGCAGACCTTCCAGCTAGGGAGTTTGTGCCTTAACGACTTAGATGTCTAGAAATTCTTGGTACATGTCATACATGTAGGGAGCGAATGACAAACTTCTATGCTCAAAAACGTCAGGTTTCTTTCCGGCACTGCGGCAAATATATCTCATTCCTGACGCCGTAGATTATTTGTTAGTTTGTCAGCATCCTCACCTATCAGCAGCCAATTTCACTGACTAAAATTTGCTGCCCTCAGGCGAGTGACATCATTGTGTGCACCCTCAATGCGCGTTTCGTCGTATAGTTGGTGCTATTCTCCTGTAATGTTCCCTTTCACCTTACTTGTACATCGATGTCTCCCTCATTCAGCTCACCGGCCGAAAAGTTTCGCGGTGCACGACAGAAGCCGCGCAGAACACGGTCACATTCGAACTCTCGTTCTTCTTCATCAAGTAGTCGTTCTTTATCGAATCGTGAGAATATCCGAGGGAAGCGGAATCTTCGAGGCCCAACACGCAGCTCCAGTTCCAGTTCCACTGACAATTGGAATCATGATAGATCTCGCTCCACAAGATCGCGTCGGAATTCCTCGCGACCCCGTTCCTTGTCATCTCGCCGTTCTGGTTCACCTTCTCCCCTTGATGACCGATCTTCATTCAACCGGTATTTCTTGTTTGTATTTTCTGTCTGTACTCACTATAAAACAGTTATGTTTGGCCCAATGAACCGGTTTCGCAACGGGCTTTAGCAACTAACGAGACCGTCGTAAATTTGCACGTGATAACTGATAAGAAACACGGCTAGGCTCACCGAAATGTTTGAGACGGACTGCTAGTTAAACCAAGGAGACCTGTTTCTAGCTGTTTTTGCTTGGAGTTAGTCATCCCGTTTCCCAGAGAATATATTTTACCTTTCATCAAATACGGCTATCCGCAGCACTGCTTCCTCCCATTGGCACTAACTTTATGGTTTCAGCTGTCTGATTCTGAGCTCCCACCGAACACTACGAAATTCAACGCCCAAACTTCATAACATCCTCACATTACATATTCTCAAATGAACCATTCCCAACACCATAATGATACAGGAAACCTCACAAGGTACAGCGCAATCCATCATTGAGTGTGTGAAAATAGAGTTGGAACTTTGATCCCGTTTCCAAATTAGGTTGACTGGCCACAAAAATTTTCCCACGGTCTCACATGCTCACAAGTAAAGTGACCCCCGATGTTTCGACAGAAAATTAGATAAATTATGAGTTCCAGTCAAGGGATAAGGAAGAAAATTCCGCAGAAAAAAAACAACGAGCTCGCTGTTGTGATTAGAAGCGCTACCAGTCCGAAACTATTCATAATCTTGAAACAAAATCAGCTGTTTCTTGATACACGTATCGTCCCCAGGGGCACACGTTCCAGAGCGGATGAACACGTTATCAATACCCTACAGAAATGGGGTTCTATTTTTGGTTAAGAAAACCGGTGACAGAGAGATTCGAACAACCACTTCCTGATCGAGACCTACCAATCTGCGAACCGTTTGTGGCAACGCTATTTTCGAATACGCAAAAATTGCGCTCACATAGTCTCAACAAGCAAATGACATCAAGGCAGATAAAGCAGCACTGTCACCTATCACCAATGCAAGTCAGGTTTTGATGTCCTCAAAAATTCCAAGTCTCTAACCCCATTTCAATACCAGCATTTTTCTCACGTCTGTGGATGTGGGGTTAGAACATTCCAGTTGCTCACTTGATGCAGTTTGATCAAGTTGTGTCTTTTATTATTATATCGCTTGTCGTTCAGTCATCTTATCAGCCATAAATCATGTACCAGGGTTACGTTAGTACCAGGTGCTACAGCTTCGGTCACAAGACCATGGGAGATCGTGGGAGATGTAACCGGCAATCCAGGCAGTAGTTTGATCAGTTAGCTCGGGAACATAGGTGGCGCGCATTGAATGCAATGGCTTCGATGCACGAGCACGTGACGAAGATGAGATTGAGGAAGGTCACACACAAAGTCGATGTTTAAACGACTACTGTGGTAATAGAGCGATTGGATAGCATTTGAGTGCGATTCGGTTCACAGTTATCGCAGTCAATCACTGGGACTTAGCAGCTCGATGAGGCGATGGCTTTCATAGACGCTTTGTAATTTGTGCTTTATCCAATATCCTATCCGTTATCCGACTCTGCACAATGGTTGCTTGATATAGCAGGCTGTTTCGAAGTTTTGAATTCGGAAATTGTTTGATACCTTAAATAGTGAACTGACATACAGTGTAACCGTAAGTTAGTCACCTGATGTAAATCATTGTTTTGCCAATCAGTTTTTTCTGCGAGTGTTACTTGCTATGGCAGTGTGTTGGGTGCGTTTACTGGTCGTTGACCAGATGACCACTTGATCAAACACCAGCTATTCGCCATCTTCATAGTCGATACACCTTCCTCCCTTCGTACGCGTTGAATATGACGTGCGAAGGAAACTTTAGTATGCGTCTCGACTCTATGTAAAGTTAACATGCCGTGTGATCACAGTTCAGGTAACTGCTTTGAACATTTTAGTCTGGGAGAGTCAAACCTACGTTCCACCTCGTCAGCATCATTTGGTGCGGGTCAATCTTCTATATCACCTGTGAGGAAGCGATATTATCGCCCCGAATTGGAGTCAGATGAGGGCTCACAACTCTCTGACAGTAGCAGCAACAATTCGGTACACGAAAACAGATCAAGTGGCCGATTTCCTCGGTAAGTCATAAAGTCGCTGATGGTTCATTCTTATGAGCCATCATTAACGTCACTTAGACACCGGACCTCACCGCGGTTTTACAGTTTGTGAGACTTTTTACTGATTAGGTTTTATCGAGTTCACCACATCCAGACCAAGCCTTCCGCTGTCACGTTTACTTTTCGCCTTCGTGTTTAATATCCAATTTGCATCTTGATTCTTACATCACAAGGGCTGCAGTGCCAAGTGCGAATCGTCCTTCTAAGTACGTTTACGATATTACTCTTGTTAGCTCATGTCCTCCTGGATTGTATATCATTTTCTATAGCCCGACGAATTCAGCGGCATGGCTCGGTGTATTACACCCGGACAGCTTAAAGTACTGCTTCAGTTTGAGGTAGGGTCATACTAATCTACATAGCTCGGCAAGTTTCTACAGGCTTGCGAATAATGAAATCACTTCCTCAGTCGGGGAGACCAAGACAGTTCTCGCCGAAATCGGAAACCTATTAGACCTTTGGAGGATCAGATTTCCTGGTAGGAGCAGAACTCACAACACTGCTGTATGGATCAGAACGCCACCACTGGCATAAGGTTCATTTGTTTAATTCTCGAAAGTACTGCTTTGTCGGATAGGAATATTGGATCAGTTGTCTGAAGTTCGTTGGCCTTTGGAGGAAAGGACTCGCTCACGATAGGCGGGCTAGTCGCATGGGTGAAGCCTCTCTCTCAATCCCTGCCAACTTACAATGGGCAATGACACAAATGTGTTCGCCCTGTGATTCGACAGGGGAATTTTAGAGAGGTTTTGGCAGCTCTGTTCCCCAAGACAGGTTCACGAGACGCAACACAGGCAACCTGGTCACTCAGCCAACCGTCACCCGCCAGTTTCCGTGAATATACGTCTTAATTTATACTCTGTTTGAAGTACGGAAATGTCCTACGTCTTTCCACTCGTTAATTTCATTCCTGGCTGTCACTTTGAACGAACCTATAACGTTAGCCTGTTCAGACGCGATAATAATTCTGGTGCGTCCAGTGTGCGCTAATGGGGTAGTGGCAACACACGCCTCGCATGTCAGATATCCGGAGTTAGAACGAATCAGTAAGATCCAACCGTAGTTCCTCTTCATTACTTACAACACCGCATCCAAAAAATTTTCAAACGGCTGATTTTGAAAGCTACTCCAGAGGCTTTCTTCTTTCCTCTCATTCGTATGGGAGTAAGAGGTGTGCAAGACGCTTACAGTTTCCTCCCGGAACTTCTTACAATGCTGAAAGTGAGTCGGCAGTTTTCCTTCAAATAAATTCTTTGCTGTGCTTTGCAAACCGAAAATCGGAATTTTTGAGTAGTCCAAGTGGGTTATCAGCTCTGATGGTTTGGACTGGCAAAAAGTACGAATATGTCAGATGAAGTAACCTCATGAGACACATCCGGCTGCAGTAGTAGCGAAACGAATTCGAAGTTCTGACTTTTTCCTATCAACTATCTGACCCTCCTTGTATTTTCTCCACTCAGCTGGCGCGATTCCGGTGGATCGAATTATATGGCGGGTAAGACGGAGACTTATTCAACCAGTGGAGATCGTAATCAGAGAAGCCCACCTAAAGTCAGTCTCGTTGCGTATTCTGCTCCGGTTGATTTGATCTTTAGTTATTGGTTTATCGAAAACCACTCTTCCTTTATGGAACATCCTAGTCCCTTGTGATTTTCGTGGTTTATTCGTTGCTCTCACTTTCAAGGCTCCTGCGGATACTTGTTCTGTCGGTAAGCCGAGCCTCACACCCCAGGAACTGCTCAAGCGTCGTATGCAGGCCCAGCTTACTAAGGCATGTAAGTTCGTACCTGTGATTTAACAGTATATTCTTATAGTCTTGATCTTTTGTATCGAGTGTTCAAGATATCACATATCTTTGCTTACGGAGAATCTTTTCGTCAAAACAATGAGGCCTCGCTCTTCTCACAATATGTATATACCATCCTAGAAACTCTCAGTCGCCTTTCAACTTATTGCATATGAACTATGTGCGTCTGTCTTGACATTTTCAGTTAACGCGGACAAAAAGGCCGAATTGGAGAAGCAACTGCAGTTGGAACGAGAGCGACAGGTATGTCGATTGGGGTACATTTTCAAGTCGTTTCTTGGGATAACTGTACCCAACCTGATGACGCTTATAAAAAGAAACGCCTCGATGCCGAGCTGAAGCTATCCAAAGTTTATGACTTGACAGAGCGAACTGACAGATTTTACTGGCGAGTAGGATAACAGTATTGTTTTCTTTGACACATAGTTGTCGACTCCCCCGTGCAATCAGATTAGTTAGCTCTGGGCCCTTGCGATTCAACGAGTTAACCTGTGAGTCTAGTGGGCTACCCTCTTTCCCTGTCGAATATTAACCTAACAATAGATGGAACACTCCAAGGCTTGATTCAACTGGCAACTCTACTCTATTCATCTCCACAGATCTACCAAACATACAAAAGTCACAAGGAACGATGTTGATTTGGGAACGTGTGACTGAACTAGTCAGTTG